AGATACTTTCCTCGGTAATGAACCAATCTGTTGTTATTGTCAACATTTCTTTTGAGAAAATTACATGGCTTACCTTATTTATTACTGTGCTAACCCCCAAAACATAAAGTTTATCGGCTGAAACATAAGGAATCAATTTAAACTTCTCAGAGAATATTAGTTCTTTATCTAAAGAACCGTGCAACAATTTTAAGCAGGTGTAAGAAATATAAATAACTAGATGGCTAGACATTTTTCACATGTTGCCATCATCACAATGAGTAACCTAAACAACCCCCCATGTCTCTCTGATTTTCATAAGCTGAGATAGAGGTATGCCAAAGTGGTTGCTATGATAAATAGTATGGTTGCTATGGAGGAGTCAATGGCTTAATATAATGCTCCTCATATCAATGTGAGTAGAATAAACCAATCCACATGTGTCCATGAGTTTCCTAAGCTGAGATAGAGATATGGCAAGTTGGTTGCTATGGTAAACAGTCTGGTTTCCAAAACTGAGATAGATTTGTAAGGAGGTGGGTTGCTAGGGTAGAGTGTCCGCCTCTATGATGTTTCCAGTGCCCTTTTTCATTGGTTGTAAATGGCAATTATAAATCAATGGTGACCTTTGACCCTGCCTAGAGCACAGGGTTCGAATACTTTTGCACACCGCTTGGTATGTTTCTACACCCAAGAAGTTTCTATGAGTTTCTCAGTTGGGGAACAGCTTTGCAAAGTTTGACCCAGTGCTGTGAATGGAAAAATTCACAGCATTCTCTGCCATTTCCCAGAACTCCTTTAGTGCTACCAGTCTAAAAAGATACAGCTACTGGAGTCAGACCATTTTGGAGGTTTGTGCAAAGTTTGGTGATTGTAGGTTGAACAACTGACTCGGAGGAGATAGTGTTAGACGCTAGACAGAAGAATAATATTAAGTTTATAAGGTTTTACAAGCGAACATAATGCTTGTTTATTATTTTTTTTGTAAATTTAAAAAGCTAGCACAATAGAAAAATTGCATTTACTGTCAGGGATTTTGTAGGACCAGACAATGGTGTATGATCAACCAATTACCCCACTCTCTCTCTCTCTCTCTCTTTTTTTCCCTCCCCCCTTTGTGGTGGAAAATGAGGCAAAAATATCAAGGAGTCGAATTATGAATTGACAAAATCATAAAGTATTTATGAAAAAAAAGTATAAAAAAAGTATTTATCCAGGATACCATGCAACGGTTTTTAGATAGCAGATCGAACCCAAAGATGTTGCGTTGGTTGCATACCCTTTGGGCATGGCAATCAGTCTTAAATACAATACTAAGACGGGCTGATCCCAGACATTGACAAATCAAATTAATAGATGAGAATCACACGTTTACAGAAACACGTAGTGTTAGCAGTTTAAATGTTCAAAGGTAATGTCATGACAAATGTCAGGTCGCTCTGTACACAAAAACTGGAAGACTAGTCACGCAGGCATTAATTTAAAAACAGAATAGTCAAGCAGGAAAGGATTTAAAACAGTTAAACTATTTAAACCTAATGAGAAAATAATTATCGCAACCACACCTTCTCATGTCTCTCTCATAGCAGTGTTTTTATTAGCTAACCTATGTTTAAGTGCACTTTCCATTAAAACTTCTAGAACCTTGCGTTCAAAGACTTCTTACTTGGTATTGGACTAATATTCAATATCAGTGGTTACCTTTTTCTAAAGGGATTCTGCTTGTTAACAACAAATACTCATCATCACTAATGATCAAAAAATCTTGAATAATCTCATCTATTGAACCCAAATCTTCCTCTCATCTATTTTAACTCTGTGTGGAATGCATTCGACCCTCTCTGAATAGTTCACTTTAATGTGTAGCAAATGAACTAAATATACTCATTAAATAACTCTTCCTCAGAGTCAGTTTACCTATAAATAGTGGGACAAAATGCACCCTGAATAGAGTTATTTTGACTCTTAGGTTGGTTTGTTTAACATTTACCAGCAGGTTCAGTTGAGCTTAATTAACTTTTGCACTGAAGCATCTGCAACAAAAAAACAATGCTACAGTAAGTTTGGCTAAGATTTTAAACAACAGCAGGTTCCATCCTGGTCTCATCGATTTCCACATTTTTAATTTGTACGTGAGGTTTAACAAAAGATCGAGCGTTGACATTAAAAGGTCATCTCACCTGGCGGCTGGAGTTTGATTGCAGTTTGACAGGGAAGTTGTCTGGGTTTGGGATATGTTTGACATGTGCTATATGTCAGATTCAGCATCACACACGTCTCCAAACATTCCCCTGCTTTGAGCACCTCGGCAGAGGTCAACCAGCCTCAAACTTTTCAACAAGCAATTAGAGGAAGCTTACCGGACTTGGAAACAAATATGTGGTTTGTTATTGACTGCCTTTTCTTTTGAGCTGGGGTTTATTTACCATAATTTCTCCTAACCTTGATGTAGTTCCACGAGTGGAATTGGAAAAAATGCATTATATGAAGTCAAAAGCTTAACGGTGCTTTAAATCCTCGGTGACTGCGAGGGTAGAAAAGCTCAACTCTATTGTGAACAAGATTGGAGAATTGAGCAGAGGCAGAACGGCGCTGAACCTTTAAGAAAGCACATCTTCCAGTGAGTGACTTTCCTTGGATATCTCCCCCCCCCACCTTCTTGAAAGCTATTTCTAGATTCTGAGGTTAGCAGGGACTCTTGAGTGATTTCCACAGATCATCTACTACAGAAACTGCATGGAGAAGACAATCACAAGTTGTACAACACTGACAGATTGATTTATTTTTGGTGAACTGTGTTCATTTGTTACAATTGACCAATTGTATTAAGCCAAAAGGGTTTAAATGAGTAAATTGAGATTAAATAAAAATATATTAACAATTTCCAAACTTAAGTATTATATTATATATTTCAAAATTACATATTATGCAATTTTCTAAGCCTTTTTATAAAAGTCGGTAGCACTTTGGCTTTCATGAATAAGAGAATGCCACCTTTGTAAATCAAACAAATATAAAAAAACACACATATAAAATTAAATAAACTGCATGAAGTGTCCTTGGTGCTTTAATCCTCACCACTGCTGTGTGTGTGCACTTGGATGGGTTAAATGCAGAGCACAAATTCCTTGTATGGGTCACTCCATACTTGGTCCTAATGTCACTTTCACTTCACTTCATTTAATTATAGTGTGCAAAAGTATAATATTTTGTGTTAAAAGTATGTTATTTTATATCCCAGAGTGGAAAATGTTATTTTAGCTTTAACTGAATGTGATTCTGGATAATCAACTAGCACAAATATTAAAATGTAAGAAATGTAAATTTATTAAATGTCTTTAGGTGTTTTACGGATGTTCAAAATTAGTATTTTTCAGAAACATGGTCAACCATATGAATATATAATTTATGAAATAAAAATCAGACAACCGTAATTAAATATTGCATATTGTTTTGTGGTATCAGGTAGATTACATCTAAGGTTTCACTAATGCTACTGCACTTCACTCACCTCTTGTTGTGAGTGTTCTGGTGTGCTTCCCTTGGGTGTGACTGGAATACTTTGACATATAGATTGAGTTATTTCCTCTCTAAATGCTCCTGCTTCAGATTGTGCAAAACATGTTCCAGAAAATCAATGCTGGTGTTAGTTTGTCTATATTTTAAGAGTTCCATTTCATTTCCACCTCTGTCCCATGGGTCCCACATAGTCTTCTTCTGCTGTGCTCTATTTCTCAGGAGAGCTAAAATTACTCTCTAGCGCCACAGTTTTAAAGTGGTCAAAAGTAATATTGCAGACACTTACATCAATCTGACAAAAAATGAATCAGTAACAAAATCCAGATACTTTTACCATTAATATAATCATTTAATTTCAGTCAAAATGTTTAAAATGAAGACAAACAGTCTTCCCTATTTGTACAACCCAGCTTTTGTTGTACACTTTCAGCTTGAAACCACTTTTCAAGAAAGACTCTTCACATTAAACGCTGTTGAGGCAATAATGCTGTTCGTAAGAATTGTCATCTCGAGGATGAGATGTGATAGCGAGGGACAAGTGCTGTTAAAAACAGAGCTTGAGGAAGCACCAGGCCACTCAGCACGCTGGCTGATTATTCCTTCAGGCAGCCCTTAACTCATTATCGTGGGCTGTAATGGCGAAGAGGCAGAAGTGTGCAGCAAGATTTACATGATAATTTGTGAGCGCTGAATTTTCAGTATGCTTCTCTGTGATCAAATCAGAGGCCGGATAAATATTTACATTCGTCTAAAATGAGATTAGCCTCTGCCAAAATGGTAGGCAGTCCAGTCTGCTGCCCGAGGACAACATTGCCTTTGAATTCCATATGAGATTAGCTTCTTCTGGTGCTTCAAACTCCATCTTAAATTGTCCTAGATTAGACCATTGGTTTACAAAACATGTAAAGCAGTGCTGATGTCATTACTTTGCAAATTTTTTTCTTGTTATCATAGTTATTGGGTCAAGTTAGCTTGAGTTTAGTTCATTTTCAGAGGGAGTTAAATGTCAGATGTAAAATTAACCTAATTTCCTGCTTCCACTGGTGAGTCACTTCCAGCGCTCGCTATACGCTTGTGATATTCTTTGCTGAACTTTGGCATTCACAGCTCTGCTGCACAAAACACTTAAGCTAAATATGAAATATTGTAGCTATGTGGTTTTTATGTGGTTCATTTATGACGAAACTGAAATTTCTTATTACTCATGAAAATAAAGTATTGCCTTTTTGTAATACTATAATAATATTTATTAAAAGAACAGTTCATTGCTGCAAATTCTTTGGAGCATTTATTGAGAATCAAGATTTTATTTTCCAACTGTATCCACTGTTTTCTAGAGTTTGAGCGTACACAGTTGTGCACCACCGTTTCCTGTGGCCACCTGGTAGCGCTAAAACTAACAGTTTACATTATATATGTTTTCAGACTTTGACTATTAACGTAATTGGTAAATTTGGGAACAATCAGAAATTTTTTTATTAAGTTTAGTCGTTGAAATACATTTTCCTGTGGCTCAGTTGGTAGAGCATTCCGTTAACACTGCAAACGCTGTGGGTTCAAATCCCAGGGAAAGCAAGAACTGACAAAAAATGTATTCATTCAAATGTAAGTTGCTTTGGATAAAAGCGCCTGCCAAATGCATAAATGTAAATATGTTGAATGCAAATTCTCAGTTGTTTTTTCATGCACTTGATTTTTTGAACAAGCCATTCACAATTGTTTTTTTTAATGGTTTTCTGAACTCGGATTTATCATTTCACCTTTGTTAAAAAAAGACTGGGGACACCTTTTCATCTTACTTCAATGGGCAGAATGAAGGGGTAGGGGTATACATCACTTACCTCGAGTACTGAACTTACCTGGTGTCCTCTTCCTCTTCTCCTGCTCCATGTACTGGTTTGTTTCCTAGCATCAAAATAATCAGTATACGTTGACTGCAATAACCTGTCTAACCTGCATCAATAAACCATTACCTATTCTCTCCTTATCTCTCTTTGATGTACCCATTGTTATTATTTTAAATTAAAAAATATCCAATATGACCTGCACAAATCACCAGTTTATTTTGTCCAATGACCACAATGAACTTTTAGAATTGCATTTCGTATCTTTACTTGCCCTGTATTCCATGGCACAGGAACAAATCCATGTGTTGTTTTTTGCCGTAACCTGTTGTGACATTTACTTTCACCATCATAAACCCCAAGGGTAAGTGCACTTCCCTTAATAGCCATTTTACTTTCTAAATGATATGTTCAACTTTTTCCTGCTCTTGAACTTTTAACTCTGTGTGTGCAAATCCAATCAATACCCTATTATTAAGGTATCGGGCAAGGGCAGGCAATGAGCTACTTCAGCATGCTTGTAATTTTTTCTTCTTCTCCTGTGAATGGCTTGTTTAGTGTGACGGGGAGATAATAACATTAATGTGTCACTGAGCATAGATTTCTGCGGTTCTTCATTACACTGCATCTAGTGACAGCTCATCAAAATCTGGACTTCAGTCCGCCTTCCTCTCTATGGTGTTTCAAATCTTATTGTCTAACGATGACCTCTAAGACCGAGCTATAAAGAAAAATCTATATGGCGTTGACGCGTATACAGTTTCATTAAATTGGAATTATTGATCAGGGTTTGGTGTTGTTTGCTAATATTCAGTGATGCTCACTGGACCGTGGCTGCTGTGGCCAAAAGGCTTCATAACAGTTTCATCAACAGAGCAGTAAAAGACAGGAAAAGAAAAATTACTCTGAGGCACTGAATCATTTTCTCCTCAATCATAAAATTTAAAATACAAGTCATGATGGTGGTCTATTTTTTATCAAAAAGGCCATTTTACACGTTTTATACATATTTACAGTGATCCTCTCAATCCGCAAATTCAAGTGTAGGTTCTGATACACATCTAGTTTCACAAACTACTACTTATGTTACTCTAATTTAACTATGGTACATATAAAGTAACTTATGATAAAGACCTACAAAAAAACAAATCACACTAGCAAGAAAACACTACTTTTGCCATTTTGTCAATGGGCACTCTCTTGAAGTACTGTCGGCTTGTGCACACGTTTTCACCACACTATCAAAAAGGATGCTAAGTTTGAAGAAAGCGGCAGAGCCCTATATGGGATTCCTTTGAATATGTCAGTGAGGCTAAGCAAGTGTATTGTGCTGGAGACAGACCACAATTTATGGATATTATAACTAGCATGAAGGACATGAATCTGGACTGACTAGAGTTCATTTACTGTTTCTAGTTAGTTTATGTCTCCAGATTTTCCCCCTCGTGGGAGATTTTTGTTAATTTTTTTACTCAATAATTTTTCCTAATGACACACTTGCTCACACTCTGATGGTTTAAACTAGTTGTAAGTTGGTTTGAGGTGGTCATGGACGAGACTTCAATTTGGTATTATTGCAGAAATCAACCGATATAGAGGTGTGCTGAATTCTCATGAGTTCATTAGGCTCTTGATTGGAAATAAATGGAGTTATATAGAGTTTTGTTTCTGCTGCATTTTTCTCAATTGCATATTGAGTCATCATCTGAATTAGGCCACAACTGCATGACACAGCAGTGTATATTACATCCTGATTAGCTTGACAACGAGAACACTTCCTGTCCCAGCAGGACCATCACTCTCAACTGAGACCCAGCAGTGTTCTTATGCGACTTTTCATCCATGCCATCCCCCTGACCTAGCTGTGCTGATTAATCTCTTTCCATCACAACATTCAGACAAACTGAGTGGCATTTACTCTCTTTCAGTAGCTTCATTTGCATTGACCCCTTTAATCTGATTAAAAAGACTACAAGCTAAATCAGATTTTAAAAAGGCCAGATGTAAACGTTAAATCAGAATTAATTAGCCAAACCATAGTATACCTGCTTTTGAACCTTTTGTAATTGGATGAATTTTATAACTCCATCGAATTTAATACAGGGCCAAACCTTTCTGGACATGGTTATTATATGATTTGATGTCATTATATGATGTACAAATTGTGTACTGAAGCATGTATTGCTCTATCAGTGAGCATAGCCCTCCTGTTAACCTAAAATCTGCAAACACTGTGGTCAGTTTGACACCAGCAATATAAAACCTCCAGAATATCATTTTTAATTGCTATATACAAATTGTGCCATTTACATATGAGTTTGGTATATATTTTTGATGTTATTTATAACATATGTAAATACAAACAATATTTGAAACACAATATGAGGTCAATTTGATACAAAAAACAAAAACAATTTGCACACTCCTGCCAAAATGAGCAAACCAATGTAAGCTGCAAATCAGTCACAGCCATCCCCTTTAGACCCTCCTCCTCTCTAAGTAGCATTTCAAGTATATAATTTTCAATTAATGCTTTAATGAAAACCTGAAATTCTGATTTTATGTCTTGAACATGACTGACATGTCTGGTTGGCCATTTTTACGAGCACCTAAGTCTACCCTGTCATACAAGTGGGGAGCGGGACCATAATAATTGTCCATTTTTGAAAGGAAATGTGGCTACTATTTGTTGAAGGTCAACACTAGGAGTCTCAATTTCATCTCAATATATTTTACATATCTCAATTTCCTGAAATTGACCTCAAGGAAAGCCATTGCGACAAAATAATAAATAACGATAATAAATAATGAATAAATGAAATGTTTTGTGCTGGGCTCTGAGGAATCATGTTTGTAACATACAAAATATTTTAACATAAGGTTTTTATAACAAGTGAATTTTGCTCAGGCAGGTGTCCTTCCTTAAATCAGTGGTGCCTTGTGTGTTTGTGATAATAGGTGTGAATAGAAGTGCTCTTGGTAGCAGGTGTGCAGCAGGCTAATCAATGAAATTATTCAACAAAGAGTCTGTCTGAGATTAAAGGACACATAAACATAGAGTGAAATGTGTTTTGAGAGTATTCACTTGTAGAAGATGTGTAAAAGTGGGGAAAAAAAAATCGATGGCCGACTAAATAATCTTGATTTATTGTTGGCACCTCAGCTCATGCTTGGTGATGGTGAAACCCCCATCCATCCAGGACCTACCCCTTCAGTAGGTTCCAGGACCAAACTTTTTTTTATTATTTTAAATGTTTAAATTTGATGTTTTCTTTTTCCAGTTGATGTTTTATTTTTATGTTTCAATTATTTTTTTGATTACCTAGATTGAATATCCATCAAGCTCACTGAGGATGGAGATTTGATCCAAAGCCAGTTTTCTGAGAAACAACTTCATCACCATGAAACATTTAGAATAAAGTACATTGAATTCAATCGATTCACATTTTTTGAGACCCCTCCAGTCTCATGTACTGCTTGACTCACCAGGACTTCTAGCTGTAAAAATCATGAGGGAGAAAAAAAAATATTAAGAAGTCTTAAAATGTGGAGAGACTCAGTGAAAGTAACCCAATTTCTCATCTCATTCCTCACAGTCTGCTGAGCTGGTCATTTCTCAGCAGGAATCCCTTGCTGAAGGCATTAGAAAAGTCAGCATGAGAAACACAGTTATTGTAGCTCTACAATATTAAAAGAGAAAAACACAGATAAATAAAATGTGCAGATTGAAAGATCTTGGATAAATGTGACAATATGACAGTTTGTGACTTTTTTTACTTCATCTGCAGAGCATTCGACTGTATTTTATTCTTTACTTGGTTCATTTTCTTCAGTTTAACCGGTGTTTTTTGCCTTTCAGTTATTATAACCGTCCATCTCTTTCTCTTTGAGGATGCCACCGTGGTGCAGCTAATTAACAACACTGTTCCTCGGCCTTTCTTTGAAGATTCTCATATTACACATACACATTTCGCTTTTTTCCTAAGTGTTTAGAAAGTAATTATTTTCTTAATGCTCCTCTCAAGCCTAGAATTGTGTTTGCAGCCTGCTCCATTGTGACTCAGAGATAAAAGCCACATGCAAAAAGCATTCCTCCCACATCATCTTTGTTTGAAGCTCTAAAGAGTAGTTCAAGGGGTCATTTACAGTAGCTTAATTAGGATAAGTGAACAATCTCGCAAATTCACCTTTATTTACTTTAATAGTTTGAGAGCAGACAAGGGCATTCGAGGCCATTTAATCCTCCAAAGAGGAATGATGTTGTCCTTGGATGTGATATCTAAGTAATGTCACCTCTGGTTTTGAGCTTTTCTTGGTCATAACAGATGCAAATGTTTGAGAGAAATGTAAATAATTATGCTAAATGAAATGTATCATCAGCTTAAAGCATTTATTTATAGAAAAAAATGAATTAAATCCTCAAATCAAACACTTCAGATCCTGCGTTCCAATTGACATTGATGTCCCAAATACTTCCCTCACTTTCCATTCAAAGTTTTTTTGGGGGAAATATATTTTACACAAGTACAGATGGAATGGGGATGCTGTTTCAAATAGTCCCCTCCCCTTTCCATTTATTGCTTTTTGAGGAGAATAGATTTTACATAAAGACGGATGGAATGATGATGTTCCAAATGCTTCCCTTCACTAACCAATTGATACTAACAAAGTTCATTTTAATATTGAGAATGTTGCACTTTGAACTTTGACGACTTGTGTGTCTGGATCT